TATATATATTCAAATCGCGTGAATGCATAAGGACAAATAAATAAAAATTATTCTGCATCTTTTTTGTTTTCACTGTATATCCAAACATGTTATAATGATTAATAACACTAAAAGAGGCGTAGTGGCACAGAGGAGGCTAGAGCACTCGCTTCCCAATCAGGTGAACCGAGTTCGAATCCCTGGTCGATACGAATTCACATCCTGCTTGCCACAATTACAATATCCTCAGTGGAACATGAGTTAGAGTTCCCTTGCTGTCAGGCTAACTGTGGGAGGTTTTCGTGGTTTTCTTCTCCATGTAACGCGAATGCGTGTTAGTTCCACCAAAAAGTCCTTTACAAAGGCCAATTACTTCCAATACTTGATCCAGGAGTTCCCTTGTATTCTGGATTGGGTTCAAAATTACAAGGCTATACAGTTCAACATTGGTAGACGTGAATTCAAAATTGGCTCAGCTGTTCATTGTCAGTTATAAAAAAATACAATTAACAAAAATGATCAAAGTGTGCGCCAGACCATTGTGGCAGCAGGATGCGTTCGCGATATATTTGGCCTGTTTGTGAAAGTGAGCCATTACTTCGATGCAATGCGTTTCCTGTAACGCAACATCGAAATTGCCTGTTATACCCTGAGCATCTCTTGTTTTGCAGTACTGTTCATAAGTGTGTTATAAATGCAGAAACACAGTAAAATTGAAATGAGACAAATGAAGTAATTTTTATTTATAGTCCTAGTTCTTTATGTACGATTTGCAATATCTATAACGACATCGGAGGGCGTTTGTGACCAAAATGGCTATCGTTCATCTGCTCTGCCCTTGAATTTTAGCAACGTATTTTTTAAAACAATCTGTATACATTAATCAGATCTTGACACTTCCCGATTATAGTTTTGAAATCATTTGTAATACATTTGTTTGTGCAAAAACTTTTTCAGAACACTTCAGCTTTTCCTTTCTGAACTAAGAAAATCTTCTACAAAAATAACACGCATACAAGACTATTTATGCAATATAAATATATTCTAAGCTAAACTCAGTGGCGCGATAGCCCATAGAGGGCCATGGCCTACTGTGCCCATCTCAGTTTTCTTGACCTTGGGCTCTTGGGTGCAGGAGCAGAGGTTCCGGTCAGGTGGTCAACCGAACGCGGAATCCCCAGTGTTTAATTCGCAAGCATGCTTGGTACTCATTTATCAACCCACTGAAGGGATGAAGGGCTGAGTCAATCTTGCCCGGCCTGAGGATCGAACCCAGGACCTGTGGCACGGGAGCGCGAAGCGCCCAGCCACCATATAAATATATTATAAGCCTATTTATTTATTTATTATTCATTCTTGTAGATTTCTTTAAATAGTTATAGAGGTGTTACATAACACTTAATATCATAGATTGCTATCACGTATGATAAAATTAAGAAAAAAAATCAAGTCATACATTTATATGCAGGAAAAAAATTGCAAAATTTAGCGCACACTGATTTGCCGAAGTAAAAATTTGTTTTACTGCGACAAATTTTTCTATTTTATTAAAAGATTTTTAATAAGATTTTATAAATTATTTAAAGACACATAAAAAGATCGTCGATAATTTATTTATATTATTATCTTAATAACATAAATATCATAGTATCGACATCATTCCATGAAACTAAGAATTGTCGTAAATGGACATTTCTTCCAACTAATTACAAATAGTCGAAATAATTTTGTCATCAAATTCGCAATTGCAAATACTTTAATTCTCCGATTGAGGAGTGTCCGATTACAACTCATTACTCGAAGAAGCACACTATTTTCGAAGATAAATGGAACATTATTTTGTTTCAGATTAATAAATCACACTCTGCGTAGCAAGGTGGGAGTATTTTGCTTCAAATTTCTTCCCACATCTGGGAAAAAAAGAGTTTTGGCTCGCTTAATTTTATTTTCCCCAGAGACTTTGGCGGCGGGTAAACAATCAGTCATATTCCTGCATCAATTCTTACGACTTCATCACTTCCTCGAGCTTCCTGTCCCTTCCTGATGTTGGAAGCATTTGATATTCCCCGTGGTCCCATTTGTCTTGCGTCGGTAGCGCCAAGTGTCTCCGGTATTTGTCGCGCCATGACACCGCAAAATAAAAATTAATCACTAATCCGTCCATCGGCAAGGTTCGAAACTTCCTATTTTGAATCATTCCCCAGGCAACAATTAATTTATATCTTTTGTAACGTGCTTTCTCTCGCTTAAAGACAACCGGTATAACACTGTCACGCATGAATTTATAGTCGCCGGATGCGATAGGTTACAATATGTCATCCAACATATAAGGGATTCTGAGTCGCAAAATTGGCCTATTTTGAAATATATTTTGCGATTTAGTTTATTTCTTATTTAAAGTACAGACGTTTCACAACAGGATGTTGTGAAATAATTTAAACTTGTCAAACTATTTTTTTCTCCTGCTGCCTCTTAAATTCAACCACAATGTGCAAAGTGTTGTGCAAAGACCGTCCTTAATATATAACTAAAATCCTGGTAATAAATTACGTCAAAAAGGAATGCGTATTACTTTTAGAGTCAATGAAAAAAGAAAGGTTTCAAATCGTCTGAAATAAGTTTATTATTTAAGGATGTTTATTATTAAAGTGATTGTTAAAAATTCATCCTATATTTTTGGTTAATTTTGGGATTTTTGTTTCCTTAATGTTTTTATGGTGATAGAGCAGTTTTACAAGAGAATTTAGAAACTAGAATTTAGAAACTAGAATTTAGAGAACTTTTAAAAAAGAATGTTGGGAATTAGAGAATTTAGAGAATTAGAGAATTTAGAGCATTGGAGAATTCAGAATCAGAATTTTAACATATTGCATTTCATAATGTTTTTGGCATACTGTTTAAATTATTCGGAAAAGGATGCTTTGTTCTACTGGAATTTCTGTTTCCCTTCTTGTTCAAGTTAATTAATTGAATTATTCAGGAAGTTAAAATGGAATGTCAAATAGAGATAAATGAGCATTTTTGACACCGACTCATGCTTAGAAGCAGTAAATCACGTATTGTAGTATAAACAATGCTTAAAGGTTAAGTTTGCCTCGAGTGTAGTATATGATGGTAAATTTTCTTGGTGAATATTGAATAAAAATAGTGTCAGAAAATTAAAAAAAAAGTTTACATCACTGCTAAAGAGCGGTGGAAGAAAATAAAAGAACTCACCTGGCTATTTGAAACATTGCCCTGACGGGATGAATCTCAGAATAAGGAGGAACTGTTTCAGCAAGCTCAATGGCTGTGATGCCCAACGACCAAACATCGCAGGACTTCGTGTAAGGCCTCATCTGCTCACAAGCTATGACCTGCAGAACAACAAGAACATTACATAATAACAAACACCGCTTAATATGATCACAGTTATCAATCGTTCTTATTGTTATTAAAATCCCTCGACATGCTAAAATTATCGCTTTATGTGATCATTACATCTTTTCATATCATCATGAAATATTCACTGTGTGTTCAGAAGATTTTTTCCCCCGGCGCTGTAGGGTATAGGAACTAAGAGCAAACATTTTATGTCCTACTCGCTTACGAAAAATTTAATGATATAGTTCTTATTTTATAACCGTCGTTGAACAGCCGACCCAATTTTGGGTTTAGGACTACTAATATTCAACTCCGTAGCCTTGTAATTTTAAATCCAATCCAGAAGACGAGGGGACTCCTGGATTAGGTATTGGGAGAAATTTTCCTTCGAGGAGGACTTTTTGATGGAACTAACCCGTATTTGCGTTACATGGAAAGGAAAATCTCGAAAACCTCCCTCGGTTAGCTGGACGGCAGGAAGACTATAACCCGTGATCCGCCTATCACTGAGGATATTCTACGTTAGCACTGTGGTCAGTCAAGCTTGACAAAACATAACTCAACTACAACTTAACTCCGATGTTCATTACGTGACTAAAAGCCTAACATAATCTAACTCCAATATACCATTAAGATTCATTTTTAAGGTTTTTGAAACCATGTTGTATTTTTTTATATTTATATTTATAACCATTGCTGAACAGCTGACCCAATTTTAGGGTTTACGACTCCTAATGTTCAACTCTGTAGCCTTGTAATTTTGAACCAAACTAGAAGAAAAGGAAACTCCTCGATCAGTACCCCCAGAGGTATGATTTGTTATGGGAACATGGAGGAATTTGTAACTCGACAGATTTAACGTGCATTAATCACCATTTACTACATGGGGAGTCTTCGGCAGGCGGGGATCGAACCCATGACCTGTAGGACATGGGTCTAGTGCCCTACAAACCAGGTTATCTCGGCCCTTGCAAATCAGTATAGGATAACTTCCCAAAGTACTTTTTTTCATATCTTCATCTGACATTTTAAAATATGAAGAAAACATATTTTTTCGCAAAAAGTCGCGCATTTTTGCCTTTGTGGACGACTTTTTGATGGAACTAACCTGCATTTCTGTAACATGGAGAGGAAAACCACGAGAACCTACCACGGTTTGCCTGACAGCAAATGGACTCTAACCCATGACCCGACTACCACTGAGGATATTTTACGTCAGCACTGTGGTAGGTGCCAGCCAGGTGCCGAATTTTTATCGATGAGCCATCACTGGGATTCGAAACCAGTTCACCTCATTGGAAGATGAGCGTTCTATCCTCTTCTAAACCATGCTCAAATCATACTAAACGCAAATAATTACAAAATCCATCTTTCACGCATAGTTTTGTATTCACGGTTTTTTAACTGTACCAGTTTCAAAGGGTTCCAAATCCGCCAAAGTAAAGAAGCATTCTTAACCGTAAACTTTACGTTTAATTCGATGAACAGACTGCTACTGGTTATTTTTACCGTAGTTTTGGAATGAAAATTCATTCTGACAGTATAAAATCAACTTCGCCTGAAGGAATTTTAAATAAGCTTGAATAAGCTCTTACAGCATTTTTATGCAATACAACTTTTTAAGTTAAAAGGATAACATTGAAAAATTTCTTTAAATTGTTAATATCAAATAACAATTTAAATACGAGATGCACTTATTTTTAAAATGCGACGTCTTTTCACTCTATCAAATTAAAATAGATAAAATTTTATCCTTTTTAACAATTTCATGAAATAAGATACAATAAGGAATAAAGTAGAACTGAATTGAGATTCTTTGATCTCATACGAAAATCTCGTTTGATATTATTCGGCAACCTCCATTCCTACAATATAAATCTTTTGAAATATGACTATATTATGCTGAAAATTATATTTCATTTTCAAACATTTTGAAGAACTATCCATACAAAATCCTACAGAATTTATGAACCTAATTTAATAAATTTGATTTAATTTTAACAGTGATGTATTTTAAGGAAATAAATCTTTTGAAGCTTTATCTGGAAACAAAACTAGAAAATTATTAGTTTATCTAAAATTTCATTTTCAAAAATATACAATTGTATGTTTTTGAAAAGTATATTGTAATCATACAATAGACTTTTTTCGTTTACTTTTTTTACAAAAAAGAAATAGCTTAGCTAAATATCATTAGTATTTTTTGTAGTCACTGAAATAAAGGAATCAGGCATTTGTCTTGTTTTTAAAAATTTAAATTAAAAATAAAATGAATGAGATATATTATCAACCAAATTTAAAAAAGATGAATTATCATACGAAAGATAAACACATAGATTATTTTAAATAGAAAGTGAAATAAATGAAGATCATGTAGAAGTTCCATCGACAGAAATGTTCCAATAAGTATTTGAACATTCAAGCATATCAATGGAAGCAGAAATTATGGATTTTTTCACGTGATATCAGCTGGGATCTTTGACCCAAATTCATTTTAAGCTCCATTTGATACCAATTTGAATGAGAATGTGCTTTCTACGTTGTAGCAGCTTTACGAATTGGACCTAAATTACAATTCGTTGGCTGTTATGTTGCAAGATCAATCCATAGATTCATATGGGTTTAGGTTTAATTAATCGGTTTAATAGATTAAAAGGATTTAATCGAGTGAACTGTCTGAGCCTAGACCATAGAGAACCTATGGGATGAGTTATATTGCCAAACAAAGAACGGCAAAAATCAACGAAGGAAATTATAAGTCTCCTTAAGCCCAAATATTAGCTCACTATTTTACCTTAAATATCTGGTACAAATACGAAGATTCTAGAGGCACATATTAATGGCAAGTTAGTTAGTTCCGTTTGAACCCGAAACAAATGTCTGGTGAGACTTCAGACCAGTTTTTGATAGTAATTAATTTCCATAACAGCTGGAGGGCTTTGACCATGGCTGCGTGTGTATCAATCTGTGAGTGAAGATGTAGAACTTCTGGAAGAGAATCAGCTTTTTCTGAATTATTGCCATGCATTTGGTGGAGTTGCATTGTCCAGAATGCCCGCATACATCTCAGAGTTCAGACTTCCAACTTCCGGGACTAAGGTACTCAGGCCAAACCAAAAAGAAACACCAGCATATCATGAAAAGTACTAATTCCTTTGGAAAGTGTTCAGAAGCTTAAAATCTGGTAGCGAACACGGACCTGCCCCAAAGTACGCAGCGGAAGATTGTAGTTGCCTCTCATGGAGGCTCCATGCGAATAAAGTTTTTTCATTCAAAGAACTTTTTAAAAGCTGCCTATTTATTATTCTTTCATCAACGATGTATTTAAATTATCTTAATATTATACAAGCATGTTGTATGGTATATTTTATTTGGTATTTACTTCAGGTGCCATCCAGTAAGGTGCTCCAAGGGAAGAATGTGTTTTCCCATCTGTGTCCTTCACTAGTGCACACGAACCTAAAAATACAGGAAGCCCAGATTTTAGCTTATTTCATAGAAATTATTAAACATAAATAATATTGATAAACAATACCAAGACAATGGTAAAAATATGAGCTACTCTAGTCTTCAATACTTGTTCAAAATGTAAGTTAAAATATTGAAGTGAGAGTAGGGTGAAAACGGGTGTCTCAATTTTTATAAAACTATTAGTTCTGCTTTCTAGCGGAAGAACTCTGAATTGCATTTCACTCAACAAAATAAAAAAACAGCCATATTGGCTTGTTGTCGTTGATTAATTCACTTTGTCTGTGTAGATAGGTTTGTTTTAGTACTATGTTAACTCTAATGTTCTCTTGTTTTTAAGCTTTACTTGTTTTTTAAACATTTCAGGTATAAAAATTATTTTCAGTCAAGCTTATTATGCGCATGCTAACGATTCATACCCAACAAATAGCATTTGTTTCGATAACATCTCATGGAGTATAAGTAAGTACTACCTGATTCGGTGCCTCCTTCCTTAGATGTGCGTCTACGTTGGGCCCAAGAAAGCTGCAGTGCATCGGAAGAAAAAGATATCTGCAGTCCCGGAACAAAATTTATTGCGTGTCTCATACTCAAAACACAAAAAGCAGTTTTTTGTCATATTTTGTAGAATTTTTGAAGATCCTTTATACAAAATTGTAGTTTTTATATTGATGAAATTCTCTGCCATTTTTTTCTTTTGAAAAAACATAAACACTATATTTTTGGCAAAAAGTTTTGATTGAGCCCAAAACCGTCCAAGCAAACTATTTTTCTCTTTCTCCTCCCCCCTCAAGTACTATCACATGTAAATTACATACATAACTTTCTTAAATTGTCATATAAAATAGAAATGTCAGTTAATTTTTCACTGAAAATCTGGTATTTCTAAATTTCGAATAGAGAGTTAACATGTGTGCCCGCTCTTACCCCACTAGTGGGGTAAAACCGAGTGGAATGACATTTTCTAAAAAAAATCATTCATGAAAAAAGTAATACATCTGTGAACTTTCGAGAATGATACATTGTATTTAAATAATAATGAATATCTTGACTAAATGAGACAGTTTAGTTCCTTTGAATCTTAACTATTCAGTATTACACCCTTCCCTTCACTTGGAATGTAAATGTAAGTTGAAATTTAAATGCATGTTTTTTATTATAAACTTTAATATGTTCAAAATCAGGAGTAAGGAGAAAGAAATGCTTTCCCAATACCTGCACACTTCAAGAGAATATGTACTAAAGAGTATGCATAGGTACTGTGATGCCACAATAGGCATTACATATTTCCTAGCTTTTAAAATTTCTTTAATTTCTTAAATTAATTTTTTAAATCAAATTTTAATTAAATTAAACCAATTATTTAGTTTCCATTACATTTTATAAAAAGCTATCATAAATATTTCATTCTTTTCTTAACAAACAATTTAACGGCTAATTTTTAATTTCAATACAAATATAAAACTCATTAAGTCACTGTCGCGACTAAATCGAAAACAAAAATCAATTTATAACTCTTTATTCTTTATTTCTTATCGCAAAAATGTTTCAGTTTCAGGGTTATACTAATTCTCACAGTTTTTTTGGCGATTCGCTTTCGCCAAATTATTTTCAAATTTATTATTGAGTAAGGGGTGTTGGCTTTATTTTTGGCTATGTTTTCTGTCGATAAATCGCCAACCATTGATCTCTTCTCAAGCTTCTAACTGCCCGTTGGGAACAATTCCCTTACTTTTAATTTGTAAATATTGGCATTCGGGCTTCGAAGGTTCGGCCTCTCAGCCCCGACAGTTAAATTTTTTCATCATTCATGGCATTTTTTGCATTTATAAAGCATGAACTTAGTTTCCCTACTGATCCGATCTTGAATATCTTCTCAAGTATTTAAAACATTTATCAGTGCAATCAGTTTTCGCACCTGTTACTAAATACCCTTATTTATGTTAGTTTCTGATCCCAAGTAGGTAAAGCTATAACATACAATTTTATTTTAAGAGCTTAAAAATATTTTTTTTTTCATTTTCTAAGTTCTCTAGAATTTGTTATATAGTTCTTAAGTTAGCGTTTTCTCCTAAATTGAGTGAAGATGCAATAAATAATGGATATATATGGAAACAAAAACCATAAATATATTTTTTTTATGAAATAGGAAGATTTTTGTAGAGATACAAATCACGACGTTTAATACAGCAATAGACAACAATCAGCGGACAGCTTTCCGTGAAGACATCCAGGCAATGAGGTGGTCGGGAGGACATAAAGTTTTCTGATAGGTTACAGATTCTTAATAGAGTAGGTCCTTTGAAGAAGAGCTGCCAGTAGTTTTTATGATCTCACACTTCGTGCTAACGACGTCCTTCACCTTTTTACGTAAACACATAAATCGGTAAATGGCTTTTCCTTTATCTTAACCTTATATCATCAACTGTCGTGTATATTATTAGACTCTGAAACAACGCAAATAATGCAAGACAGGTGACAGGTTTTTCTCTCAAGTCTCATTTATGTTTGATAAATAGATTTATGAAAAAAAACCTTTAAATTTTTTTAATGAAAAATTATTTTGAACTCAATGGAATAACAATGTATGAAGGGGAAAAAACAGTTAATGTCCGTGAAAGCTGATTTTTTTAAAAAAGGAGAAAAATTAATTTCAAGGTTTGAAGTTTTTCAAGAGCAAGCATGTGATTGAAATCGTAAAAATAAAAACATACACGAATGTAATAAGTATTTATTTACATCTCCCAGAAGTTTCAAAACAAAATTTACGGAATCGGGTTTCAATTCAACAAATTATTCCAAAATTGACCGATCAACTCAGCAACTACAAATTTTTTTTATAATAACCCCCATACACAAATCTAAAAATAACTAAACAATCTTCCGTAAAAAATTTTATGCTGAACATTTAAGTAAGGAGTTAAATAATGGTAAAAATTTTAAGCTTCGTAATTTAAATAATAATATTATCATTAAAATTTTTTTAGCTTCACATAAGAGGTTAAAAATTAAAACTAATAATATTCAATTTCCATACTTAATCAGTGCAAAATTTCATAAAATTCCTATTAAATTTAGAACAATCACTTTTAGGTCTAATTTTTACCTAGCAAAACCTGGCACCATTTTCTCTAACTATTTAAACAAAATTATTAACAATATTAAGTTTTTTTTTTATAAAACAGAATAAAATTAATTCAATTGCGACTACTAATTTCCAAGATCTTTCTAATAGCATTGATTGTAATTTTGATTATTGGGAAATTCTAATTAATTTTTGTCTTTTTAATAAATATCTTTATGGAAAAAATATTTTTGTTCAAATTGATGGAGTACCACAAGTATTTAATTAGTCATCTCTCTTAGCTAACTTATTTTTAACCTATTATGAAAAAAGTATACTCTTAATGTAAAATTTCGTTTTAGATTTATTGATGATTTAATTATCTTTAATTTTCAAAACAATGCAATTTTGCTAAATGATATTTACGCAGAAGAAATAAACTTGCTTCGTAATCAGACAACAATCTTAATTTTAATTTTTTGGATTTAAGTATTAAAAAAAGAAAAGAAAAAACATTACTGCTGATTTTTATAATAAAAAAATGCTTTTAAATTCAATATAAATAAGCTAATTGCATGGAAATATGAAGTTTACAAAAACTTTTATTTAAATATCTTTTTTAATCAAATGAGTAGAATTAGAGGAATCTGTAGTAATGTTTATTTATCGAAAAAACAAATAGACGGATTTTTTCAAAATTTGATATAAAACAATGAATATCCAACTAAGGAAATTAAAATATATGTATGAAATCGTCGAGTTAATTGTATATGCAAATAAAAATTTCTTTTTTAATTAAATTTATATTTTTACCATGTGGAAATCTAATTTGGGCTTGTCCATGGTTAAAATTCTTCTAATATTTAATAGAGATGCATTTAATTTTCTTTTTATCAAACGTAAATTATTTCTCTAAAATCATCAATATAAAATTTTTTTGTCTTAAGTTTTATTCTTAAATTTTATTTTAATTAATATTAACGTTTTATAACTAAAATTCAGCCTTATTAATTATAAATTTTGAATTATCCTGCAAAATATTATTACCTTGCGCACATCCTGATTGTAGCCAATCCGAGGTAACTAACAAATCAAACGAGCTTCTGTACTTCAGTAATATATGTTGTCTCACTTTATATATTATATGTTGAGTTTTATTCTGTATTTTCTTGATTTTTTTTAAAAATTTTGCTTATTTGTTTTCTTTTGCATTTTTTCTTTCTTTTACATTTTTTTCATCATAAGTTCTACTTTCGTTTCAGTGTTTGGTGCTCCTCACACATCCTTTATTGATATATTTTGCTTTCCATTTTTTTCCTTATATATATATATATATAAAAAGCTATTGTTAATGGGGTTAAGTAAAAAACAGTATCAAAAATAAAAGTTACTAAGAAAACCCATCGTAATTTTGGTAATCAGCAAATTTTAACCAATCTTATATACTTACCACTTTACGATGTATATAACATTTCAATATTTTTTTCCTTTCTTGTCTAGACAGATAATCGCAGACTGTAATATAATTATTTTGCATTGCCACTGTTAACATAAATATTCTTTTATAGAATATACAATCTATTATCATATATCAGCGATTACAATGGTATTGTTGTTGAGTTAATAGTCTTAACTTTTAAACTTTAATAAAATGTGTAATTGTCTTAAAGATTCCTGTCATTTTGTTGTTTTTGTTTATATCTAATACGTTGCTTATAATCACGACGTAGTATTTGTAGAAAAATATGTGCTTAATGTCAATATTGTTTTGAAAAAAAAAATCATTTAAACATCAAATTAAATTTCAGAATGAGAAAAATACTCTAAATAATTTTTTAATACATTACAAGTAATACTTATTATACAAAATTACTCCATAGACATTTAATATCATACTAAAATAATGCAACTTAATTGCGCATTATCTAAAATATAGTATCACTAAATGTCCTGTAGTTTTTCTTTTATATATTCTTACAAATCAACAGTTTAAAAAGAAAGTTTCGAATTTGGTGCATATATATACGTTCGAAGGCACACGAGGCAACGTTGACTACTTTAATACTTTCTAGTATCATTTGTTCGAAGCAAAGAATCAACAAAGAAATTCACGAATGATTAAAATTACAAACAAATTTTATATTCATTATTCATGTTAAAGCATTTAAAATGAATGTAAAAATTATGCTAAATGGGATGCGTCTTAACCAGAATTTCACCAAGTAGTGATGATTTTAAGAGGCAAAAAGTGATTTTACCCCTCTTCTGCCCTGACTAAGTGCATTCAAATCTCTTAAATTACAATGAATCTTTTCATCAATAGCACAAATGGATTTAATGCATATCGCAATGGCTCAGTTTTGCTATTTACAAAAAATTTCACAACAGTTTTTAATGACATTCGTTCTTGTCAGAGTTCACCATAATCGGCAACCATTTAGATATAAGTAAACGCATTACGATCGCTTCCTGTCTCTAAAAATCATACTGCTGTTTATTGTTCTTTTCAGGGTTCATCCATCTTAACACAACTTTACTTTCACTTTACATGCAATCATGTAAACTGATCAATCAGAAAAGCGCATTCTGTGGCAGACTTAGTTTACTTTAATTTATAACTCAGAAGGATAGCTTTGTTACTGCTAATGTATTTCTGACGCTATCATGCGTGTCAACTTTTCATTTAAGCAGTACTTATACAAATGATAAATTCCACTTCCATACAAAAACATCTAAAATTTTGTTGAATTACACCAGTTTTATTTTATCATAAGGACATTTTATGAGTTAATTCATATTTAGATCACAATGTAATTAAATCAGAAAAATTTATCTTGTAACAGTAAAAAATGAGACCAGAACGCTTATTTACATTAAATTCAATCAAATTTTTAATGATTTTTTGTTTTAACCAATGATGTAACCCTGTAATCAACTATCTTATTTTCCATTTGGCGTGAAAACTTTCAATGCTGGATTGATAAAAATCATTTGATATTTGAGCGAAATATCTAGAGATAGTATTTTGGACATTATCCAGTTTTTAAAATATTTTGCTTCATAGAAAATGCTTCAGTCATCGGAACAAATAGGAATTCGATGCAGGTATGGCATACCTCTAGCCTTAATTTATAAATTTTTCCCGGATTTAGTCTTTCAAACAGATAAAAGTTGAGAATATCAAGAGTACCGGATTTGAATTTAGCAAACCGTTTTTTTAAATTTGCGATTCTTATGCACAATTTTACAATCAAAAATATTTCCATTTGAACATCTTCACATGAAAGGAAGCATATTTAAGAATTTATAGAAGAGAAATAAATTTGGGATACTTTATTTAAGGTTAAGTATTTTTTTTATACTGTTGGCTATAAAATGCTAATTTCCTCTATCACAAATGTTTTAGGTGTGAACTATTGTGTTACAATTTTTGTGAAATTCAAAAATTATATAATACTGGTTTTGTACCTTTTTTGGTATTTGACTGGTTTAATTGTAAATTGTTAAAAAAATTATTAATACTCACGAGTAAACAAGTCACTTTTTTCTCAAATTGTCTTTGACGCTTCTTAAAAGTAGGAACAAATATCGAAATATGAAGAAACGACATTACTTATCAGTTCCCCTAAATACTTTTCAAAAAATTATTTCGTTTTTTTAATTGGCAATGAGATGTTGTTTCATCCCATTTCTTATTACAATGTTTTACTGTCTTCATTATCTTAACTTAAATGTCCCGAAATAAAAAGACATTTATTTAAGGATAAATTAATTGAGGATACTTTATTGAAAGATATGGGTTAATTTTTCTTTCATTGTCGGCTAAGCTATTTTTACGCNGAAAATTTTTTGTAAAAACATAAATATTTTCTTAAAAGATAGAAAATGTTTAACAAAAAGTAAAAATATTTTCTTAAAAGACAAAATTTTTTGTAAAAACATGAATATTTTCTCATAAAATAGAAAATTTTGTTAAAAAGTTTGAAATATTTTTATAAAACTAGCAAATTTTTAACAAAAAGTTTAAAAAATGTTTAAAAGATAGAAATTTTTTTGTAAAAACATAAATATTTTCTTAAAAGATAGAAAATGTTTAACAAAAAGTAAAAATATTTTCTTAAAAGACAAAATTTTTTGTAAAAACATGAATATTTTCTCATAAAATAGAAAATTTTGTTAAAAAGTTAAAAATATTTTTATAAAACTAGCAAATTTTTAACAAAAAGTAAAACTTTTTTCATAAAAGATAAAAATTTGTTGTAAAAACATAAATATTTTCTTAAAAGATAGAAAAATCTGTTAAAAAGTTTGAAATACTTTTATGAAACTAGCAAATTTTTAACAAAAAGTTAAAATTTTTTCTTAAGAGAGAAAATTTTTCGTAAAAACGTAAATATTTTCTTTTAAAAGATAGAAAATTTTGTGAAAAAGTTTGAAATATTTTTATAAAACTAGCAAATTTTTAACAAAAAGTTAAAATTTTTTCCTAAAAGAGAAATTTTTTTGCCAAAACATAGATATTTTCTGAAAAAATAGAAAATTTTGTTAAAAATAAATAAAAATGTTACATTGTTTCCTAGTTCGTTAAGATTTTAAGATGATTACTTTAAGTTAGATCAATGAATATTTTCTATAAAATCATTTTAACATTAATTTTAAATCATGAAGGCAGGAGAATCCGGTGGTTCTATGAATCATTCAGAGTGCGGGACAAGGACCCATATTTAAATACTACTTTCTGCAAAGTTCATCCTCCATCCAGACTCCCATCTCTATGAATTAGCCGAAAAAACTTTCCAAAAAGCTTGAGATATGTGGGACTGGATCACAACTTCATAGTTTCCTAATTCTCGTTGCCTCTTTCTTAAATACTTCCAATGCATCTTCACAATTTTTTGTTAATCTTTTTATTGTTATTTGCGGAATGACCTATATTTCTTTTTTCTTGAACAAGATGGTGTGTGAATGGATCGGATATGATTGAGTAAATCAGATTTTAACTTAAAAAATTCACTGCACAAATTAAGCTTATGCGTAACTAAATGAGTCAGTAAGTGTCTCTTTAAATTATCATTTCGAAAAAAATCTTTTTACATTCTTCACATTCAAGTTTCTCGATTTTTCATGAGTTTTTAAATGTCTATTCAAGTTACACTTTCGATTAATCACCTTATCACATAAACGACATTTAAAGTCTTTTTCATTTGAATGAATTTTCAAATGTTGAACCATATTCTTTTTATGCGTGAATATTTTTCATCATATTTCACATATCTACAAAATAAAATAAACGCTATTTGAATATCATACTACATTAACTCAATGAATTATTAAAAAAAAGTTAAAGTATTCCTCCGAAAAGGATTTTTTTTTTTAAATTGTTAAGTTCTTAAAGTTAATATCGGTTTTTTTCTTTCAAAAATCAATTTTATATCGCAAACAGTAACAATTTTGACTATATACGCATATAATCATAAGTTTTCAAAATTTATTGCGTTTAATAAATTTTGAAACGCATATAATTATAAGTTTTCAAAATTTATTTTCATTAATTTATTGCGGCTATAAGTACTTAATTTTCTTATTTGATATTATAATAATGATAAAAACTTACTTAATTTTAAAACTAGGTGTCGAATTTAAAACTATATCACTATATATTAACGGACCGTGAGAGAGTCGCTATATCCTCATGTATATAGATAAGCTATATCCTAACAATTGTGATTAACTAATGAAATATAGATAAAATCCAAACGCCACGGACAGAAATTATCTATATACATGAGGATATAGCAACTCTCTCACGGTCCGTTAATATATAGTGATATAGTTTTAAATTCGACACCTAGTTTTAAAATTAAGTAAGTTTTTATCATTATTATAATATCAAATAAGAAAATTAAGTACTTATAGCCGCAATAAATTAATTACGTAATAGTGTCCTTCATTAAAAACAAATGACGGAAAACTATACGAATTCTAATACGAATAACAAAACTAATGTGAGTTGTTTCTATTATTTATAACATTATTATTTTCTAATATTTACTTGAATCACACTTACACTACTCCGGTTTTATAAAAATATTTTTGTATAACTTTAAATTACTTGTTGAATATTTACGTTTCGAGGATTTTTGAAAACTTATGATTATATGCGTATATAGTTAAAATTGTTACTGTTTGCGATATAAAATTGATTTTTGAANTATATATATATATATATATATATGATTTTTTAATATAGAGAGACACAAACGAAAAAAACTTTTAATGATTCGCTTTAAAACATGGCAAGTGACTGAAAAATGGATTTTTAAATAAGCTAAATGATTTCTCTTTGAATATTTTGTTGGTTGACAGAAACTATGTTTGTATATTTCATTTGAAATTCAAAATGCATTTACCTATACCATTTCATGACTCGGCAGCAAAAATTTGCTGTTCTCTATTTTTCTCACAATTTTTTTAAAAATTTAAAGTGAAAAAGTTTGAAGGAAGAAAGCAATTATTGTGTCTTTCATTTTAAGAATGTAAATAGTTTAAAAAAGTCAAGTGCGAATAATAACGCCATTGGTTAAGAAATTGTGGAGCTTTAACTTTCATGACCCCGTTTGCCCGCAACTGGTTTTCGAGAGAATGCGTTACTTTTAATCATCTAATTAAACATATAGTGAAGGGAGTACTTACCAAAATCAATGAATTTAATGTCACCTTCTGGAGAGATTATAAAATTTGACGCTCTTACATCTCTATGAATTATTTCATTTTCATGAAGAGTCTGCAATCCCTGAAATATATTTTGACTCTGAATTCATAGAAACAAAAATTTATTCAAAAAAGTGAAGCATATTTTTTTAAATTACATAAATAACAAAAACATTATTATCATTCCCTTCAATAATTATCAATAAAGCTGAATTAAGGCCATTTCAAAATTCTGAGTACTTTATCGGAAATTTTAATATGCATGTAATTTTTTGCTGTCATTCTACTACAGGGCTCTTAATTTTACAGATTTATTTCGTTATGATTAATCTTTTTTTATTGCTTAATTTTTAAATTAAGTTAAACGTTTAATTAAGCAAAAAAAAAAGCACTGAGTATGAGAATATCAGCACCTAAAATTTAAATTTTTTTTTGAGAATTGATTATAATTTTGGTAAAACTTAATTGCTCTGAGAAATTCATTTGTTGTAGTATGTTCACAGCCTTTATCATTCTCTAAAGATTATCTTCAATATTCATTTTACTATCAACAAAAATGAAAATCAAATCAACTTAAAACAATGCGATACAAAATAAAAGCCTTTTATAGCTAACAGGTCCCAAAAATGAAGTGGCCAGCCATGCAAGTATTTAAGCAGCAATATTGTAAAATTCTGATTAAGCGCCTTCACAAATTCTGACAAAAATGTCGAGTGTAACGATATAGAAATGCCTGTGGTTCATTAAAACAAATCATGACTTAATGCAAAATAAAGATTAATGAAATAGAAACTTCAAATGTTGATCTATCAGTCGCAATTGGTTGTTTTACACGAAAAGAAGTCATTTGAAGAAAATGCACTTGATGATAATACTTAGTATTTGTGATGAAAGGTTCTGATTCGTTATATCCTTTGTAAGCAGAATAGTTGTCTCAAGGTTAAGCAATATCCCTACTCTCCATACTTTCCCTCTCTCTCTTCACTATGGCATCCCAAAATCTTTGCTTTCTCCCCATGACAGTATATTACCACTTCTTATTGAAACGGGAAGAAAAGCAAGATTTTATTAAATCTAACGGGGAGAGGAAAAGTGTGGAGAGTGCGAAGATTGCGTAACTTTGAGACACCAATGTATAAGGAGTTTAATAACAATGTTCTACAATTTTTGAATCAATTCTTTTTAGTGTAAAACAACTCCATTTATTCCATCGCTTATTTCTGATTTCTTTCCTAATATTACCTAAAACTTATTTGTTAATAACATTTCATGTTTCTGATTTATACTTAAAACAAAAGCTTTGATGCAGATAAGTTTTTTTTAAAGTTTCCAATGAGCTGCACAAGTGCGCACACATGAGCAGACCTAGTGCGTTCTCCAGAAGTGGTATCCACTCTTTCAGGACCACCACAATGGGTGAGATACCTTTGGCCATGTTAATTTGGACGTCTAGTTTCTGCCACACTAGATGGCAGCACCGAGACTCTTATTTGGATGCTAAAGTGCACTAGGAATTTAATTTTGCCGGAAATGCCAAGAGCCAATAAGGCACTCCAGGGATCTTTTACATGCTGCATAATCATACGACATGGCCGCTGAGGATTTTCCGAAAATCCGGTGTCTGGACCGGGGATCAACCAACTGCGCCACCCAGCCACCATGCAGATAAGTTGTTGGTGATTTTTTTACCAATTTTTTCATAGGTCCAATCATATGATTTCATTATTGTGCATTCGCTTGTGCATGCAAAAGTGCCAGGTATTTTATTGGTTTCTCAGGGCATGTAAAATCTTTGGTATTTTTTGAAACTTGCAGACAACAATGCTTTTTACGAGGGGTTATTTAACTATCAATTCGTGGGTTCGAATCCCGCTTGGGGCATGGATGTTTCTCTCTGTGTGTTGTTCTCTATTGTGTGATGCGTGATTGTGGCCCACTCTATAATGGGTATCTGTGGCAGTGTGGCGTGGGTAATGCTGCTTGACTCTGTGACTTAGGTTCACAGGTACTCACTGGGTTACGTTAAATGAGCAACATTTCTGGCATCTTCGGAGATGAAAGTTCAGTGCCTGCAGTAAAAAAAAAGAAAAGGATTTTCAAAATTTTTAATTTTTGAAGACATTTAAGAAAAGGTGTTCAGTTGAAAAATATTCGAATTCATTGACAAATGTAAGACCTGAAACATTCTGTTTGCATTCCATTTCTTGATTTCCTCCTTAAAACCTTGAACTGCAATAAATGTTCAGAGAATACTTATGATGATGTGCATTCTTTTAATCAAAGTTGTGGGCAGAGATTCAATTTATTTGCCTTCCTACCAGATAGAGAAGGGGGGAATCATTGTTCAATGTTTCAAAAATACTCATTCTCTAATTAAATAGGAGAATTTCGAAATAAGCTTCTTGCTTCTCCATCGCTGAATGAAATTAAAATTTAATTAATCTTGGGAATTTTAATTACAATACCTTCCTAGATTGTAATGAATATACCTCCTTCCGTTTTAAGTTTGGTATAAATACAAGGAAAGGATTTTGAGTTCCATTCCATGTATTTAATTAACTGATGAACAAAGTATAAGTTAGAAACACATACAATGAAGTTGATTGAATTTTTCTCTCTCTATCTCTGTGTACTAGTTAAATTTTCCTGGGAAGTAATCAGGAACTCATGTTAATCTATAGCGTGTGCCTTTAATTAAAATTTTGGTTTTTATATTAGCTAAAAAAGCTAAAGTGCTAAATAATGCAAACAAAAGAGTGATTAGTTTTCATTATCAATTTACTAAAACAATTATAAAGTAATCGGCCGAGCAACGTTTTCCAATAATTTTGTCTTTTATTTTTAATGAAGAGGTCGCTTAAAGGTATTTTGAAACGCTGTTTAAACGACATCGAAATTAAATTATAACTGCGAAAAGAGTTTGAAATTCGAGTATTTAATTAAAACTATTATGACGAAACTGTGTTCGAAATAAATATGAGTTGTCTCGAAATATAGTGTTAAGTAATTTAAAATGAGGATGATGAAAATTCATTAAATGCTTTGTATATCAATGTAATATCAAATGATATGTTATGAGGTAAATTAGTACTTTAATTAACAATTAGCTGAATACTCGTTCTTAGTACATTGTGGAGTAAAAGAATCAATAAATCAGTACTGGGAAACACTACGAAATCATGCCCAAAATTAAGGGATACAAATCGACACAAATAATAAAGCTAAACCAATTCCATAAATTTTTATTTAATATAATTTGTTGCCTTTCCCAGTTGCTTTACGTTGTTAAATTAACCAAAGCATGTATTTAGTAATTCAACACATCATTTATGCCACATAATATTTAAAATTTACCTCAATCAAGCAACTTTCTCTTGTACTTATATCTTAGGGAGGCCATACATTTTTCCCCCAGTGTCTATCATAAAAAAACAAAACAATATTTGTGCAGCTTCAATAGGCACTAAATTTACTCGTATAAAGAGTTTATTTAGCACCTATTAAAATACACCGATTCCCCTAATGCCAGTAGTGCCTATTACCGTTGCATCATTGCAACTTAAGCATCATTGGTGTTAATAATAGGTTAGCGACTTTTTATGGTTTCCCTTAACGAATCAATACATTTACTCCACTAATTTTCCTTTTCAGTACATATTTTCGTTTTATTTCAATCAGTGCCTATTGAGCCATGATGGCTCAGGGGATAGAGCGTTCTCCTTCCAATGAGGTGAACCGGGTTCGAATCCCACCAATGGCTGGTAGATATGAATTTGCATCCGGCTTGCACTGACCACAGTGCTGACGTTAAATATCCTCAGTGGTAGATGGATCCCGGGTTTGAGTCCCTTGCTGTCAGGCTAACTTTATGAGGTTCTCGTGGTCCTCCTCTCCATGTAACGCAAATGCGGTTTAATTCCGTCAAAAAAGTCCTCCACGAAGGCACAATTTCTCCCAATACTTGTTCCAGGAGTTCCCTTGTCTTCTGGATTGGGTTGAAAACTACAAGGTTATGGAGTTGAAATTTTTTTTCCCGAATTGCAGGCACTGAACTTTATTCGTTTCGCCTTAGAAGATGCCAGAGTTGTTCGCGTTACCCAGTGGGCACCTGTGAACCAAAGTCACGGAGGCGAGTAACATTGCCCACCTCACACTGCCACAAACCCGTTCATAGGTTGGGCCACATTCACTCATCACACACAACAGAGGACAACACAAGAGAGAGAAACATCCATGCCCAGAGCGGGATTCGAACCCGCGGTCATTGGCTTCGCAGTCAGGCGGCCGGCTGGCCGGCTGGAGTTGAACATCAAAAGTCGTAAACCCAAATATTGGGTCGGCTGTTCAACGACGGTTATAACATAAAATAAAAATTAGTTCCTATTACCAAAATTGGCATCGTTGAATCATTGATGTCATCAGTAGTTTGCCTATTTTTTACGTTCACTTAAACGAATTAGTACCATTTCTCCATTAATTTTGCTTTTTAGTACATAGCTTATGGCTTATTATTTTACTTCGATTAGTAGTTCAAAATTAATCATCATTCGCGTCAGTAATAAAATTGTCGTTTTTTACGTTTATCCTCAAAGAATTAGCACCTTTTCTCCATAAATTTTGCTTTTCAGCACAATTTTTTTAATTCCAATTACCGTTGATTTTAAATGATTTAGTTTAATAGTAACACGTTTTAAAAACATAACTATAAATAAAATAAACACAATTTTTGAAATAAGTAATGTTGAAGTTGGTAACTTAGTTCACCTATATTACCACAATTAGAGAAGTTGACTCGCCTGCCATTTCAGAGCAAATACGCTCACCAATACGCTACAAGATTAGGCAACTCATCGAAACAAACGAAGCTAACCTCAACTAGGATAATCCGTAAAGAAAGCGTGTTTGCGCAATGTCTCCTACGAAAGAGAAGGCCTCCGCACGGGTTACCATAAACAAGAAATTTGATCTTTTAGCAGTCCATACGTAATGGCATCTTTCGTATTTACCACCACTGTGAAGCTTTGTAGTCCAAACGTGAAATCTTTATTATTTTTATTCCACTGCGCAGTTTATGTTCGTTTCGTCGAACTAATAAAATTGATCTGTGTTGAGGTCTTCTTTTTTCTGGGAGGTGTTGGTTGCGCACATCATTGTTTACACTGTTTTTGGAAACTTTCTTTTAATACTTGAAAAAATTCATTAAAATATTCATTATTATTGTTATTTAAAATAGAAATATTATTCATTACTAGATAGAAACAGTTTATGCACACTTTTAATTCTTTTATAATTATATATAAAAAGAAACTCAAATAAGTGGAGAAAAACCAGTAAATATATATTTGAATTAGATTCAATATTATCTAATATTGATCCTGGTTTTGGACAATTTATCCAGTTCAGTCTTTTTGGAGGACTTTTTAAAGGATTTGGAATAGTATCAGGCCTTAATTTTTTGTTACTGCTATTGTCCGGCATTCTCTGAAGTGAAATTTCCTTAATGTTAAGTGCAAATGACTGGTATATGCTTTCCCGGTATTCTCTAAATAAATAAGTTAAGTGCCACTGCCTAGTTATAAACATACCAGGAATTCCCTATACTGAATTCCTTTTTAGTTCCACTTCCCTGTATACATTTATCCTGTATTTCCAACAATGATGTTTTTCCTAATTTATCCTAATTGGATATTAAAATATCGCATGAATATCAAATATCAGCAAATAAATTTAATATCCAATTGAATATAACAAATGTTTTGATCATTCACGCAAGTGATTATGTGGCATTCACCGGTGAAGATCAACTTTCTCCAGATTCTGGTTTTCACGGTAACGAAGAAATTGCGAAGAAAACTTTAATTAACATGCATTTTTAGACGGAAGTTACTTAATTATGATGCATGATTTTGTTTAATAAAAAAACAAATGACCTATTCTCCCGAGTTTAATTTTTAAAAGAAAACACACTAAACAAGTTTAATTTAAATAGGAATGGAATGCAGGGCATCCTATAAACTCCTTTACTTCAATTCACCAACTGTTGACAGAAGATACTTTGCGGTGTTTCTCCCCACAAAATGTGAAATCCACAATGCTAATTAGGACGGAGAGTAATTTCGTTGTAGTTGAGAGAAAACATTTAAATCAAGCCACACACGCGGGAGTTTAATTTCGGAGAGTAACTTTTGGAGCCGGGAAAAACTAAACTACATCCCATAGTTAGGCCTAAGATTCAGGTGAAAGCAGATTTAATCAGTTATCACGTGGTTGAGTTAGAGGAAGAAGTGAAGTTTAATCAAAATTAAGGGGGTGGAGCACACAAGGTGGTTAGTCATGTGCCTTAACTAGTTAGTTTATTTCACGTGTTAATTAAAGGAATTCAAGAACAGTTTACCAAGAGGAAGAGTTTGAGAAGGGCAGCAATTTCTTCTTCCGTCAGCATCTTCTCTTCTTTTCTGAGATAACATAACAGTTCGGAAACAGGTACCCCCTCGCAGAACTGAAAAAGAAAAAAAGATTAATGTCAACATAAATGAAATTCTTATCAATGACAAACATCTCATTGTAGATGTCCTACGACACTTTATCAGAACAATTTTATTATAATTATATCAATTAAATATTCAGCAAAAAAATTCGCGAAATATAAAGGTGTCAGTGTTTTTTACTGTAAAATCCATTTTCAAAGTAAGATTTTTTACCGTAATTTATACAGTGAATTACAGTGACTCTGTAAAAATTACTGTATATCAGTTTTTTTAGTTCCGTAAAAATTTACGGTAAAAAGAATTGACACCCTCAGTGGCGATACTTTTTACCGTAATAATTCAGGATTTTTTTTACAGTCTAGAGAAATAGAATTCAATTGAGTATTCAAAGTTAAAATATAGCGGGATATCCTGGTCGGTGGGGCGCTGGGCCCATGTCCGAGAGTTCGTGGGTTTGAACCCAACCGGCCGAAGATTCCCCGTGTAGTAAAGTGACTGATGCACGTTAAATCTGTCGAGTCACAAAAGTCCTCCATGTTCTCATAACAAATCAAAACCTCTGGGGTACTGGATTGGAGATCGATCGTTCTGTGATTCAGGTCAAAATTGCTATCTGTGGATTAATGAATGGGTCCGCTCTATAAGCGGGTGCGACGTATGGTGGGGCTTAAGTCGAATTCTTGGCCATAGATGGCGCCACTGAAAAAAGAGAAACGCACACTCTACCTTAAATTTGCTCGGTTTCACCAAGCAGGCTTGCTCGTGTGGCAAGTGATATTAGAAACAACAACAAACAACACGAATAGGTCTCCCATCAAAAATTGGTGTGTACAAATTGCGAGTAAAGTGAACTGGTAGAGTTTATTCCAACTTTTTAGGGGAATGAGGCAAAAAACATCGAAGCGATAGAGAAAAGGAGAATCAAGGAAAAGTGGATAGTGCGAATATTATTTGGCATTATGTAGAAAGCAAATAACTAAAGTAATAAACAAAATAAAGGAATAGCTTTAACTCAATTTAAAAGCTTTGCATCGTAATGAACCAAAGAACCGGAATGGTATGTCAGGGTGGAATTCTCGCCAAAAGAAATGCGCACATATTTTGCGAACTTTAACTTTCCTCTCCCATGAAAAAGGGAACTCTTTCGCTTAGTGAAATTGTTATTTTTTTTAATTTGAATTTAATTGAAAGTAAATCTGCCAACTTATTCTGGTTGAAAAGCAACTATTTTAATATTTTCTGAAAATATACTTGAGTTTGAAACTGAGGTTAAATTCAACGATAAATTTTATCTCTTTGCATTAAAATATTGAGAGCCCGCTGTAGTCGTTTTAGTCATTCAATTTACTGCCAAACTTTTTTTTGGTTGCTCAAAAACTTTGAAACTTAAGAATATAAAGGCGTCCAGAAATATTCGTAGGGAGAAGAATGGAACGAAGAAATAACAGTCAATAATTAGTTCGAGAATTTTATAACCGTCATTGAACAGATGTCCCAATTTTGGGTTTACGACTACCAATGTTCAACTCTATAGATCTGTAATTCTGAACAATTTCCGGAAGAGGAGGGATCTCCTGAATCAAGTATTGGGAGAAATTTGCCTTTGTGACGGACTTTTTGCAGAAACTAACCCGCATTTACATTACATGGGAAGGAAAATCACGGAAACAACTCACGGTCAGCCTGATGACGTGGGGACGCTAACCCATGATCCGTCTACCACTGAGGATATTTTACGTCAGCACTATGGTCGTTGCAAACTGCCTGCGGAACTTGAATCGACCAGCCATCGCTGGGATTTGAACCCGGTTCTCTTCGTTGGAAGGCGAACGCTCTATTCTCTGAGCTACCACGGTTCTAGTTCGAGAATTATTGACTCTTAAGTTTGTGGTACGAAATGAATGCGAGTCGCTATATAAGTCTCAAAAATGCAAATACGGAATTGGAATTTGAATTGCTGAAAACCCATGTTCATTTATAAAGTTTCCCTTTTACAGTGGATCAAAATTTTGATGTCATGTTTTCGGATCATCTTAGGGATGCTACACAGATTGTCACCAATAGCCAATTGTGTAGCTCTAGAGTGACGTATATAAATTACAACAACAACAACATTTATGAGGTTAATGCGAGTTTTTTTCTTAGAAATTCCAATTTGTAATTGCAATTTTTCGTTCTTTTTGCATGATTTTTTCTGATTTTTTTTGTTTTAAATTGTGACCATTCACACATTGTTGTAGAGAAACTAATTATTTTCTGTCGAAATCTTTATTTTATAAGCATGGTCGTCAGTTGATGTCAATCTAAAGTAACGAAAAAAAGACGAGATTTAAGAATGCCAGATATCCATCTTTAACATTTATCTTGAATATATATATATATATATTTAAAAAAACCACAATGCAAGTGATATAAGTAACGATCTCCATTTGGATTGTTATAAAAATCTCTAAGACGAACAAATTACTTCACACTTATTTCTTCTTATTTAGCCACACAATTTGTATTTCTCAGGATTTTCAAGTATTTTATAAGTACAAGTAATCTTCCTTTATTTTAAAACGCGTATTGACAAAATATTCTTAAAATAAACTGAAAAATAATTGCATATTTTATTAAATTTTCTTTTTGTTTTTGTGGAAATCATAGAACTACCTTTATTATTGATAAAACATGTGTGGGACTGATATTTTTAAGAATATCTGCTCAAAGTTCTGAAATTTAATAGCTGTTTTATGAAATGTTTTAAATTGCGATTCATTTTGTAGTTGGTTTCAGGTGAATAAAAATATATACTAATAAAAATATTACATTTGTGAAATTAAAATAAAATGTTCTGATACAAGTTTAATCACATGAAAATTGAATTATTATTTGTATAAAATATTCTTTGGTATTTTAGATTTAGCAGATGAATGAATGATGATAAGATGAATTTCTAAATTGCGTGATAGGTTAAATTTTATAGTTTTATGAATACTCTTCGATCAAACTGTTGTATATTTTTAATTCATTGCGTTTATTTTTGAAGTTATACTTCTTATGCGACTTCCAACAAGGTTGCGTTAAACGTTTAACGCTACATTTTTATTGGCCGGGAAATCACGTGGTAGGATTCAGTTTTCCCTCATTCATTTCCATATTGTTTTGGTTCTATATTGTTTTGTTTCCATATTGTTTTGGTTCTATATTGTTTTGTTTCCATATTGTTTTGGTTCTTAAAATAATAAAAGTCATAAGAGTATTGTTTTTCTGTAAATATTTTTTTAGTTTGTTTTGATACACACATAATTTAATAGAATAGTATTTTTTATTTTCAAATTTAGTGGATAACAATTGTAAAAATTTAGTGAAAACAATCCCACGGACAATGCGACGGATTTAAGGTCATGTCAAGGTACGTCTCTTGTGAATATCAATTGATTGTTAGGTTTTCTCTTCTAAAATTACATTATGACGCATTCACATACATAATTAATACAAATACATTTTCCATGGCGAGACGATGAGGCAACCACAAGCACTTCCACTGGTTCGAGAGGTCCACGAGGGAAAAATGCACAATATTATCGTTATTACAGAGCACGGAGGCGAGCGGAGCAGAAAAAAGAGTCGTTGAGTAGAACTAGTGATCCTTCTACGACTGCTGATTCTTCTACAATTAACGTCGCAGGTTGCGAAGTTTAACTTCTTTTGCGTGGAGGGACTCCACGCACTATTTTTTTAAATTTAAAAATACTGATTGCACAAAGCCTGCGTGGGAAATGATATAATATCTTACAAAAATGTAATGATGGTGTTGCAGTTTACCATTGTTGTCAATACATTTTTATGGACTGAAAAATCAGGTGGTAAGATCCAGTTTTTCCTCATTCATTTCCATATTGTTTTGATTGTTATCAGCATAAAATTAATCTTACTATGTATAAAAATCTAATAATGGTGTCGTGCTTTTCCATTGTTGTCCGTGCATTTTTATTGGCGGAAAATCACGTGGTGGGATCCAGTTTTTCTTCGTTCATTTCCTTATTATTTTGGTTGCATTACGCTTTTAATTCAACAGTTTAAAACTAAGAGGTTCTTCTTTAATTATTATCATTATTATAATGTAATTCTAGGCTACTTTTTAAGATAAAATTATTTAGAAGGGTACTCTAATCCTACTAACCGTTTTACAATTAATTTCTTAGGCAAATAACAATATACTGTTATAAATTGCAGTTAAGGAGATCTGTTAAATGATTTAGAATTTAATGATCAGCTTCAGGCACAATGAGATGCAAGCAAAAATAGTATTTAGTTCCTCCGCTCGTTTGGTAAGCTGAAATATTAAATTACGGCAGTGAACTCATCAAATTTGTTTGATAAGAAACAATTAATTATTGTAAATATTTATAATATAATGATATAAATGTTTATGATACTAATAGATAATAATATTTGAACGTGGAAAGTAGAGGCACAAGCGTAAGCAAACAAAACTCTTTTTAGTACATATATGTTAAATGAATAATTTTAACTTCAGTAGAAGAACTGTTTTCTGCCAAGAAACAACAAATTTTGTAAAGCAATAATCTGGGTTGGTGAAAGGCGGCAAGCAGGGGGCTTAATCCCCAGTTTTTTTTAAAACTGATGTTATAAAGCCAGCAAGTGAAATGCATAATGTCTGAAAAATATGAACTGGACGCGTTTCTATGCATCGATCATAAAAATAAATATGTCCGAGAGTTCGGGGGTTCCAGACCCCGCCGACTGAAGACTCCCCGTGTAGTTGGTGACTGATGCACGTTAAATCTGTCTAGCCGCAAAAGTCCTCCATGTTCCAATAACAAATCAATACCTCTGGGGGTACTGGATTGGAAATCGATCGTTCTCTGATTCAGGTCAAAATTACGATCTGTGGATGAATGATTGGATGTATGAATGGGTCCGCCTTATAAACGAGTGTGACGCGTGATGTGGCAGAAGTCTATTTCTTGGCCATATATGGCACCACTGAAAAACAGGAAAC